CCCACCAAGCCACGCCCACCAAGTTACACCATGCCCACCAAGCCACACCCACAAAGCCACGCCTACCAAGCCACGTCCACAGAACCGGTAGTAAAAACATTTGAATCCCACCACTGAAGTCATTCCACCTAGAAGTGTTGCTAGGAGTTAAATATCTTTTAGAGCTGATGGAAAACTTTCAGACGGACATTTATTGTAGGACAGTGGCCCAGAGAAAGCTGGGTTTAAACTGTAATCAAGAAAGGTGTCCAAGGATGGAGCATCATGAGGTGCCGTACAAGAGGAAGCCCCCAAGTGCTGCAACAGCCACAGCAGTGTTATGGGAAGAGCAGCTACCTGCAATGAAAAGAACATAGAATCATAGGGCTGGAAAGGACCTCAAGAGGTCATCTAGTTCAGCGGTCCCCAACCTTTGCAGCTTGGCAGCCCAGCTGGAGGGGGGAGGAGGGAGAGGGGAACCGGACTATGTGAGCCGCGGGCCAGCACACCTGCACGCAGCTTGACTCGTGTGAGCCGCATGCACACCCAGCTCGACCGCAAGTAATAATGGTGTGTGTGTGTGTGTGTGTGTGTGTCTGTGTGTGTGTCTCTGTGTGTGTGGGTGTGCCGGCCCAGCACTTGTGTGAGTTGAGTGGCACACATGGGTGTATGTGTGCTGGCCCATGGCCCAGTTGTGAATAGGCCACATATCCCAACAGTGGGCCCTGTCCTGGGTGTTGGAGACCCCTCATCCTGTCTAACTCCCTGCTTAAACCATTCTGGACAAATGGCTGTTCGGTCTCTTCTTGAAAACCTCGCTGTCAGGGTTCCGATGGATGCCCATGAGCCTCGAGCCAAGTTTCAAAAGAAATCCAATTCTTTATTAGGAGCAACATATCGGCACTTTCCCCAAGTGCTGTCGGCTCTGCCCTACATAATTTACTGCCCACCTATGACCCTGTTTCCCTCCTCCTCCTCCCAGGGTGTGTCATAAATCACATTCTCCAACAAAGCACTTTCATTGGCTGTAGAAAACATGTCTCTCCCACTGGCTCTGGTAACCTGGGACACAATCTGGAGAAAGGTATGTGTGGAATGTGATCTCCCCTCACCCCTCCTTTTTCTGGCAACTTGAGAGCAAGCTTGGAGTTGACACTCCAGCGATGGAGCACCCACAACTTCTGGAGCCAAGCACCTCTGGGAACACCTGAATCTGAATTCCCACGTTTCCCCCCTGCTACTCTAAAAGTCACACCCAGCCCCCTTACCGATGACCCTCGAGTCACACTCTCCAATCCACCTCCATTCTGAAATTTCCGCCAAGTCCGTCGCGACTCGGCCTTGAGCTCTGGTGAAAGAATGTTGTTGTGGCTATCCTCCCTTCTCACTTCACTCTCGTTCCCACGGTCACCCAACCTCCCTTGTGGCAGCCCCAAACCCGATTCAAGGTGGAGGGGGGGGGGGGGGGGGCTGACACCCTGACCTTTATGGTGATTGTAAGTCAAGGACTACCTGTAGTTAAAAATGAAGAAATATAAATGTGTGTGTGTATATGTGTGTGTGTGCATCTACAGCTACACACACACACACAGACACACACCCACACCCACACACACAGAGACACACACACAGACACACACACAGACACACACACACTATTATTTGTTCCTTGAGAAAAGAAAACCATTGGATTAACGCTAATTAACCCTGTTCCTTACTATGACTGTAAATGAAGGACTACGTGTAGTTAAAAATGAAGAAATATAAGTGTGTGTGTGTGTTCACAGGTATGCATGTGCGCACACATGCACACACACACACACACACACACACACGAGATTATTTGTTCCTTGGGAAAAGAAAACCATTGGATTAACCCTGTTCCTTACTATGGCTATAAATGAAGGACTACGTGTCGTTAAAAATGAAGAAGTGTGTGTGTGTGTGTGTGTAGTGTGTGTGTTTGTGCACAGGTACACACACACACACACACACATGAGATTATTTGTTCCTTGGGAAAAGAAAACCATTGGATAGATTGGATATCATTCCTGCTAATGTTAAGTTCCAGCAGAAAGTCATTGAGCCAGTAACCCGAATCTACTTCCCAAAAGACTCATTGTGAAATCCTGGTTAATTTCTTATGCTCTTAGAACACGGAAGAGAGAATAGCAGCATTGAAGGGGACCTTGAAGGTCTTTTTGTCCCACCTCCTGCTCAAGCAGGAGACCCTATACCATTTCAGACTGTCCAATCTCTTCTTGAAAGCCTCCAGTGATGTAGCACCCACAATTTCTGGAGGCAAGTTTTTTCCACTGATCATTCTAATTGCCAATAAACTTCTTCTTAGATCTAGGTTTGTTCTCTCCTTGGACTAGATGACCTCCAACTCTGTTAGTCTACGATGGTAATTTCCATCTATTCTTTTTTTGTCTTGCCTTCTGGTGCTTTGGAAAATAGTTTAACCTCCTCATCTTTGTAGGAGCCCCTCAAGTATTGAAACACTGCCATTATATTGCCCTTAGTCCTTCTTTTCACTAAACTAGACAAACCCAGTTCCTCTGTCCCAACTATGGAGAGTTTTACCTTCAATAATTTTCTCTGATCTCTTAGGCCTTCTTCTCACGTGGCCCTCATCACTGGGAGAAGCTAGTAGAATGAGAGAAGAAATGAATCATTTGCTGGAAAAAGAGACTAGTATTATTTCTTTGGAAATCTAATGCAATATGCTGCATCTCTTTGTTTTTAATACTTTGAGATTGTACAGTTTTCTTAAGTTTGCCTAAATAGTTCAATGCTCAAAACATTGGTGTAGGAGATGACCAGGCTGAGCTGGAGGGAGGGGTCAAGGATGTCATTAGTCTCAAGTCTCTTCATGCTCATAAGAGATCTAAGTCCAGCTCACCTTGTATTCCGTTGACTCTTATCTACTGCCAATTTGCTTGGACTGTTAGTAGATCATATTCTTGTAGAGAGCTTAAGCTTGCAATAAATCTTGATAGTCTGCCTGGATTTCCTGTTTTCCCGCGCTTGACAATTGGCATATTTAGTTTTTCAAATGTGGCAACTTTAGAATGGGCGGATTTCAGTTCCCAAAATTCCCCAGTCAGATTTGCTGTTTATTTAGGAATTACGTTTTATAGATTGAGGTTAAACCTATGGAATTATAGGCAGTCTTTACTAAACAACGGGTTGCTCAGTGAAGTTATGCTGTATCTCAGAAGAGATACTTATGACTTGGACTTGAAGCTCCAATGTCCGTCTCCTCCTATTCTCTTTTATGTATTCAGAAACTGGTCCATGTCTAGGGTCATTTGCAATGTCCCAAGGTCAAGGGACTGCGATTTACGTTGTTGGGTTTTTTGCCGAAAATGCGATGACCCAGGGCGTGGCACAAAGGCAACACAGATAATCAATAAGAGTCCCTTTATTATCTCCAACTTTGCCCCCAAGGGCCAGGTTACCTTCTGGCTGGAGAAAAACTCTACCAAGAACAGCCTTTGACTGCAGAAAATTAAGTCCAAAACATGGTCAATACAAACTGTAACTTAAAGTCCAAACAAGCCAAACTGAAGTAATTTGTTTGCCAGGACAGGAGCAAGAATTTCAGACTTGAAGGCACAGCAAAACTCATAGGGTTGGGAAGATGCCAGGAACACAGATAAGCCACGACAACACAGAATAAAGTCACATTTGCTCCTAGTAGCCTGCTGCACACAGCCTGCCTTTCTTATCAATTGTCTTCCCAGTTGCAGCTAATGAAGGGAATCAGGGCCCTTTCCTCCCCCGTAAGCCACGCAACCCACATTGCTCTCTTCTCTGTTCTTCCCTGCATGCCCTCAGATGAAGAGGGGGTGGGCCTGGGTCTTCCTATGAACTCCATCTCCCTTGTTCTATCTCTCCCCTGCTCTGCCCAGCTGGATTTGCCCTTTCCCAGCCTCCTCCACAGCCAATGGAGCCACACTCCCATTCCCTATCAGCTGTCCGGCTTCTTCCTCAGATTCAGACTCTGACAGGGGCATGACAGAAAACAGGTGTTTACTTCTGGATTTTTGCATAAAATGCCCATTGCGAATTATGGTTTGCTTAATAACCATGGCGTTTGTTTAATAAACTTCTGCAGAAAAAAAAAAGACATAAAATCGGATTGGTCATATGATGACTGACTTAATTCACTGTCACAACTTTCAACCCCCATTCTGGGCTCAACTAAGGCCGTAAGTTGAGGACCACCCGTAAACTTAGCAACGAAAATGTTGAACTCAGTTGTGGTCATTAAGTAAAGAACTATCTCATCTGGATGGGGTTGTTGTTGTTGTTTTGACAAAACGCAAGTCCCTGATGGCCGTAAAGTCATGCAATCTACTTACTGAACATCCAGAAACATCCTTTCTCCTGTTTCTGCCAGTTGAGAATGCGGTCAAGCCAGGAAGCCTGGAAGAATTCTGAGAATCCAGCTAGCCCACAAAACATAACTGTGAAGAAAGGAGATGCGGGTTGGTTGATGATGGTTAGCGCAACTTGAGGGTTAAGAAAGGGGGAAAATCTATTCCTTACAAGAATACGAAAGGACTGGAAATTACCCACTCATTTGGAAGAGATCCCTTACTGTGTGCAACTCCCACTCCTTTCCAGACTGATGACGTTACCTAGTTGGGTAATGAAACATCTTCAAGAAAACAACCAAGCTCAGAGAGCACCAAGGCCCCCACAGATCACTTACTGTTCTCTGTAAAGAGATCTCCAAAATAGTCCACAAGATTCTTCTTTTCGATATTGCGATTGGCTCGCATCATCAAATCACAGAATATGTTTTCATAGTACCCAGCATTTTGGAAGAGCGAATTAGGGCACGATTGCTAGAGAGGGAAGGGTGAGAACATCAAGCCAAGGATGGGATAAAATATTGATCGATTGATTGCTACATTCATATTGCAATCCTAATGTTCTAGTGGTATCACCAAGCAATTGGCAGAAAATTAACGAAAGAGAAAGCCTTTTTTTAAAAAAAATGCCTTTAAAGCCTGAAAAATCTGACTCAAAATACAAATTACAAATGTGACAATTGCAGTAAAATGAATGCACTTAAAATTCCTGCAGGTGGGGCTTAAAAAAGTACCATTTCTACTGGTTTTTTTTTTTTTTTTTCAAATTTAGCAGCTTTAAGATATTGGACTCCAACTCCCAAAATTCCCCAGCCAGTCCTACACTTTCCCCCCCATCCCGCCCCAAATCTTTGCCCTTCTCTCCAAGATCCTTGCAAATGGGTTAACGATCTCCCAAGCTTTCCTTCCTTTTCATCTTATGGTGATCGTTCACCATGGCAACATGATCCAGAGTCTCCACATGTAAACTGGACATCTATAGACATTTGTTTAGTAAACAAACAAACACAGACACTTTCTTACCATCTTGGCGAACAGAAAGTAAAAGAGTTGGTGGGACAGCAAGTAGCCATCACAGTGGGTGTTTACCATGAGCCTGGTGCAGTTGTCTGGAATCCAGCATACCTCAGAGTCATCCCTGATGAAAAGCAAGTTAGATAAGCACTAGCACTATCATTTGGACTTATATACCGCTTCACTTTGTTTTCCAGCCCTCCCTAAGCGGTTTATAGAGTCAGCCTATTTGCCCCCAACAATCTGGGTCTTCATTTTATCCACCTCGGAAGGATGGAAAGCTGAGTCAACCTTGAGCCGGTCAGGATCGAACTGCTGGCATTCTAGATAGAACTGTATTCTAACCATTGTGCCATGATGGCTCCTAATTCTAATCTCAGTTGTGCTTGTAAGTGAAGGTCTTCCTGTATCAGTTGTAAACCAAGCAACTCATTGATTTATTAGCTTGTTTTGTATATAATTAAATAGATGTTCCACAGCAGAAAGTTTATGAATGGCTCATTCATGCCACAGGTTTCCAAATTGTTTTGGCTAACAGTGCTCTATAAGGGAAATTGTTATGTTAGGAGGTGTTTCCTTAATTCCAGGTTGCTTCTCTCCTTGGTTAATTTCCATCTATTATTTCTTTTCTTGCCTTCTGGTGCTTTGGAGAATAATTTGAGCCCCTTTTGTTTGTGGCAGCCCCTCAAATACTGGAATACTACTATCACGATACCCCGAATCCTTCTTTTCTCTAGGCTGGCCATAGCCAAATCCTGCAACCGTTCTTCATATGTTTTAATCTACAGGCCTTGAATCATCTTAGTTGCTTTGAACTTTTTGCAGAGTCTCTGTTCTGAGCCAAACCTTTTTCCAGTAAGACAAACAATAACCAAAGGGAACAGAAACCTTTTAATGAGTCTTACAAATTCCCGGTTAAAAGGCTGCTGCAAACCAATTAACTTTGATAAGCACAAATCTTGCCAAAACTATGCGAGACTGCCAAAAATTCCAGATAAGAAATATTTCACAACACAAAAGTCTTCAAATACACAAGGCTGGAGTTTCAAAACGTCTTTGCTTCCTGCAAAGAATGTTCGCTTCACAGCTGCCTTTTATCTTCTAGAAGGAGGGGCCACTACCTTGCAGCCTTACTCCTGAGTCGCCCATGCTGCTGCAGCTGCTCTTTCCTGCGAGCAGCCCTGCACACAGGCTCCTCAGGAATCTCCTCATCGCTGCTGCCAGGCCCCACAATCTCTGAAGGCAGCCGTCCACTCCCTAATGGTCCTGACCCTCATCTGAGTCCTCGCTCTCCTCAGGCATCCGCACCTGCTGCTAACCACAACAGTCTCAGACTAGATGCAGTATTTCAGGTTTGGCCTTACTAAGGATTTATAAAGCAGTACTAATAAGCAATACTAAGCCCCAATTTTGAACACGTGGCCCTGGGGATTCTATGATGGTTGTATCTTCAAAGACAAGTTATAAGTCTCTTTTTTCCAATGCTGCTGTAACTTTGAACAGCTACAAGTAGTAGTTGTAACTGGAGGACTACCTGTTTTGGAGCAGAAGGAACCCTAGAAAAATCAAAATCAAATACCTACTGTGTTCCTAATAGGGCCGAGATGCAAAAATCACTGGTTTTTAAATCCAGGCAGCGGCCACTTGTTGGAGAATAAGGAATGGACTCGTTAATCTTTCTCCATTCTTGGGGGACCTTCCAAAATCCTGGTTTTAAAGCTGGAGCAAACTCTGAGGGAGGGGGGGTGGGGAATGGGAAAGAGAGAAAGATTTCTTAGCCTTTGCTTGAGACTTAGAATAATTGTAATATAATTGACAAGCCCTTGCTTATCTATGGAGACCGAGTGGAGCAAGTGGCCAGTTTTAAGTTTCTGGGTGTTACCCTAAAAGAGGACCTGACTTGGGGTGCTGACATTGCAGCCCTTGGTCAAAAGGCCCCAGCAGAGATTATACTACCTGAGACTTCTCAGGAAACAACAATGGAATGAAAAACTGCTGGTGACCTTCTACCGCTGCACCATAGAGAGTATCTTAACTTATTACACCTGTGTAGGGTTTGCCAGTTGCACCGTGGCAGATAGGACAGTGCTCCAGAGGGTTAACGTCATTGCCCAGAGGATCATGGGTTGCCCTCTCCCCTCTTTAGAGCTCCTGCTGCCTTAAGAAAGTTCAAAACATTCTTAAAGATCCATCTCATCCTGGGCACCCCTTTTTTTTTTTTTGAACTATTACCATCTGGCAGACAGTACAGAATAATAATACAAACAAGGGCAAATAGGCTGAAAAACAGCTTCTATCCCAGAGCAGTAGCTCTATTGAATTCTACTGTATAGTGCAATATTAATGTAATATCAGGAGTTTTCAGTTCAACGTATATAATGTGAAGGATATATGTTTGTGTTTATTTTCAGTCATAATGTACACTGAAGGTGGTATTTCATTGGAGGTCTTCTAGTCCAGCCCCCTGCTGAAGCAGGAGAACCTATAGACCAGTGATCCCCAACCTTTTTTATGGCGCGGCCCGGTACCGGCATTAGCTGGGCGCCGCCATCTTTTTTTGATGAAAAAGTGCTTCCGGTGAGCTTTCTACCCGGAAAAGCTCACCGGAAGCACTTTTTCATCAAAAAAAGATGGCGGCGCCCAGCAAACCAGCAGCCCGGTAGGACTTGTTGATGCTATAGACCATTTCAGACAAGGGATTGTGTAGTCTCTCCTTAAAGTGGTGTCTTGCTTTGGCTGTTGCGTATAATCAGTGGCACCTTGTGAACAAAGCTGGTGGTGAGAAGCGCCACAGCTCTGTAAAAAAGGAAAAAAAGATGTGAAAAACTCAATTTCCCCATCCTAGCAGTCAGCCCTGGTCTTACCACTCCTGTTCCTGAGAGGTGTAGGTGTCGTCGTGTTGTTTTTAGCATTTCGAGGTGGCATCTGGCTTTTGTGGGACTGGGAAGAAGAGTAGAGTGGTGGAAATGCCCACCACTGAATTGGATGGCATCATTAGGAAACCGGTTAACCACATTTAGCTGGCTTTGTGTAAGCACTAAGTGATGCGTGGCAGTTTATCAACTACAGGGTTGTACAGAGGACTCTGAGCTATGAACAAATGAATCGGTCTGGCTTAAAATTCATGTGTCAAAACAGCCAGGGATCAGTCGGCCTGCTGCAACTGGTCTTCTCTTTCTCTCCATTCTCTCTCTCTCTCTCTCCATTCTCTTTCTCCATTCTCTCTCTCTCTCTCCATTTTCTCTCCATTCTTCTCTTTCCATTCTCTCTCTATCTCTCCATTCTCTTTCTCCATTCTCTCTCTCTCTCCATTCTCTCTCTCTTTCCATTCTCTCTCTCCCTCTTCATTCTCTCTCGATTCTCTCTCTCTCTCTCTCTCTCCATTCTCTCTCTCCATTCTCTCTCTCTCCATTCTCTTTCTCCATTCTCTCTCTCATTCTCTCTCCCTTCCTCCTTCTCTCCCCCCCTCTCTCAGGATCTATCAGTCAAGTCTGCTACACCATTTAAAGCCAACCAACTACCCTTAAGTTTCTTGAGAGAAGGAGACAGTGTTAATGGTCTACTCGCTCAGTTTTCAATTAGATGTTTTTTGGGGGCCATTTACAATAATCTTCTCTTTGTATTAATTAGCTTATTTTCACTTTTCATGGTTGCCCCTGCCTCCTGTTTTCTCCCTAAACAGCAACACCTCTGAGAAGTAGGAAGGATAGGGAGAGAGAGTTAACTAGCCTAAGGCTAGCTACCATGGCAGAGGGTGAATTTGAACCCAGGTCTCCCTGTTCCTAGCCCAACACTTTTAACTACTTCACTTTTCTCTTTCTATGTTGTTAGCAACTGGTATTCACAGATCGGGCAGACGGTTTGTTGGCAGAAGAGCTATGTTTGCAACTTTGCCTTGCCGAAAGCTCCAGATTTATCTGCCTGGCTTTCAAATTAGATTCCAGAGCTAGGAAGAGCAATTATCTCACTCAGAATAAATTAATCTCCTGTGTTCCTTTGGCAGAAGTGGGTAATTGCCTTCCCAGGGCGATATGTAGTCCCCAAGCGCTCCTTCGTATCTCTCAGAGTCTCTTCCAACAACGATCATTGAAAATCATTGCTAGTTTCTGGGTGCTTTGTGCCAAATGCTCCCTAAAGGTATAATGTGAGCCATAAAACAAGCACATCATTGCTTAAAATAATGAAGAAATCTAAAGCACAATGCAAGTAACTTGGAAGATAAGGGGAGGAGGTTTGCCGGCAGCCGGTGCAGACGGCAGCGGAGTTGGAAAGTGGGGAAGAACGGGGACCAGTCAGGGAGTCTGGAAAGGACTCGGATGAGGGTCCTGCGTCCGATGCAGAGATGGGGCCAGGGCCATCTGGGAGTGGGGTGCTGCCTCTGGAGCCTTCGGAGTCTGGCAGCAGTGAGGAAGAGGATCCAGGGGAGCCTGTTCCCAGTGTGCGTGTGTGCGCAGAGCTGCTAGAAGGTGAGAGCAGGTGAAGCAGAAGGGGCAACTTGGGAGCAAGGCTGGGAGGTGATTGCATCCCATAAGGCAGTGGCCCCCCACCTTTTTTGTGCCACGGCCTGGTACCGGCATCACAAAATGATCCGCAGCCCGGTACCGGCATCAGCACGCATGGCAAGGCGAGCCGAGCGACCAGCCAGCCAGCCATCCCCTGCTTCTCCCCACCACCTTCAACTCCTCCTTTGTACCTTTGTTGATGGGCTTCGGGACGGCTTCGGGACGGTCGCTCGGCTCGCCTTGCCTTGGGTGCTGAAAGAATCCTTGCGCCTTAGTTTTGTTCAAAGCCGCCCCCCCCCGCTTCAATGAAACTAAGGCGCGAGGATTCCTTCAGGACCCAAACGCCGCCTTCCAACCGGAAAAGCTCACCGGAAGCACTTTCTCATCAAAACAAGATGGTGGTGCCCAGCAAACCAGCGGCCCGGTAGAAAATGTTCCACGGACCGGTATCAGTCCGGGGCCCGGTGGTTGGGGACCCCTGCCATAAGGGATAAAAGTCAGACCTCAATGACAAAAGCTTTGTAGGAAGCAAAGCAGTTCAAAAGATTCCGAGTCCTCTTTGAAGCTCCGGTTGGTTTTCTGGTATTTCGGTTGGTTTACTTCTGTTTTTGGCAACATTCCACAGCACTGAAAGGCGTGTGCTTATCTTGGGGAACTGTTTATAAGTAGTTCTGGCTGGGAATGAAAGTAATTCCCAGCCTTGTAATAAAATAGATTTTGCTTTTAAAACAAGTTTATGTTTAATTACGTTTGACAAAGCCTGGGTCAGAACAGTAGGGATATCCTGACTCCACACTAGCACATACACATATAGGTATGTATGTAATTATGTATTTATTTTACATCTTATCTTTTATTATTTTTATAAAAAAGGCAGCAAATATACATAATATCCTTTCCTCTCCCATTTTCCTCAGCACAACAGCCCTGTGAGGTGAGTTGGTCTAAGAGAAAAGGACTGGCCCAAAGTCACCCAGCTGGCTTTCATGACTAAGGTGGGTCTAGAACTCACTGTCTCCTGGTGATCCGTCTAGGGCAGGGGTTCCCAATCTTTTCTATACCTCATGCCCCTAGAATGCTTCTGCTGGATTCTCACACTCCTTACAAAAACAAATAATTATATGCTTATAAGTATGCATATACAGTATAATTTTGAAACTTCTAAACTTTTCACACTCCCGGAATATTGTCTCTCACCCCCAGTTGGGAACCTCTGGCCTAATGTCATCTAGCTGGCTTTCATGGTTGAGGCAGGACTAGAACTCACTGTTGTGGCCCGCCAGTGGCCAGTGGAGCTAGTGGCAGACTCAAACAGTGAGGTTCTTGGGGAGGAACATGGGCCAGTCCTGGAGTCTGGGGAAGGCTCGGACGAGGGCTCTGCATCGGAGGCAGAGATGGAGCCAGGGCTGTTCCAACAGTTATCAGCTGCCTTCGGAGTCAGAGATCAGTGGGGAAGAAGAACAGCTGGAGCCTGTTCCCAGTGTGCACATACACAGAGCTGCCAGGAGAAGGGAACAGTTAAGGAACAAGGGTCAACTCAGGAGTAAAGGCTCAGGTGGATAGTGAATGGCCCCTCCCATAGGAAATAAAAAGGAGTGAAATGGGAGTAGTGTTTGCAGGAGAGAATTAGTTCAATTCATTAGAGTGAATATCTATTCCTGACTTCTTGCCAAGTAATTGCTGCTACAGTGTGGCATTTGGAAGCTATCGGCCTGGCAACTCTCCAAGCCTGATAAAGGTCTGCAGTTATGAAATCTCATGAAAGGCTGTTTGCCGGGACTTTGCAGGAGAGGATCCTAAATATCCTAAATAAAGGTTTTGTTTTTTATTGGGACGAGGAGTCTGCTTCATGGTCTTAGGAAACCTAGGTCAGAACATTCACTTCCTCCTGGTGATTGGCCCTACGTCACCCAGCTGGCTTTAATATCTGAGGCAGGACTAGAACTCAATGTCTCCTGTTTTCTAGCCTGGTATCTTAAACACTAACCACTAGACCGAACTGGTTCTCTAGTTTGCATCACGAGCATGCACATTGGAGGGAAAACCCCACAAAACCATTAATGAACAGCTCTTGGCTGTAATGACCCAAAGGGGTGTGGCACAAAGGCAACACAGTCAAATAAGCAAGAAGAGTCCCTTTATTATCTCTAACTTTGCTCCCAATGTCCAGGTTACCTTCGGCTGGAGAAAAACTCTCCCAGAAAAAGCCTTTAAGTGGAGGAAATTCAGCCCAAAAACAAAGTACATACAAACTGTAACTAAAAATCCAAACAAACCACACTTCAGTAATTAACTTGACAGGACAGGAGAAGGAATTGCAGACTTGAAAGCAAACACAGTTGGGAAAATGCCAGGAATACAGCTAAGCCTCCACGATACCAGATAATTCATGATTTGCTGTGCGCAGCTTCCCTTTTTAAAGACTGTGTTCCCACCTGCAGCTAATGAAGGGAATCAGAGCCCTTTCCTCCCCCGTAAGCCACACAACTCATGTTTCTCCCTTCTCCGTTCCTCCCTGCGTGCCCTGGGTCTTCCTCCAAATTCCCTCTGCCTTGCTCTACCTCTCCCCTGCTCTGCCCAGTCGGACTGTGCCCTTCCCCAGTTTCTTCAACCGCCAACGGAGCCACACTCCCACTCCCTCAGCTGCTCAGCTTCCCCCTCTGAATCAGATTCCGACAGGGGCATGACATTGGCAATGAAAAGTTTTCTTCCCCAGACTTATGAAACGATTCACATCCGACTTCTGTCCCTAGGGAGACCTACCTTCTAACCATGGTTACCTAATTCTACTGAAATAACGTTTGCATCTTCTACCTTTGTGGGAAACCGGAACTTGTTTTTCAACATCGTGGTCTGCATCCTTTATGAAGGTCAACAGCTTTTCCCTCATCATCAGGATTCTCTGCCGCTCGACAGTTAATTCCAGCTTCCTTTGCCATCTCTCCAGGACCACATTCAAAAAACCTAGAGGTTTGCAGAGGGAGGAAAAAACAAAAGAGGTGGAATTAACACCACATCTCAAAACTCAAGAGAGATGGAATGGGATGACACGAATGGGATGCTATAGTTTAGTTTAGTTTATTGTCATTGCATCTTGTACAACAAAATTAAATATCATCTTCAGTGTACATTATGACTGAAAATAAACACAAACACACATCCTTCACGTTCTATACCAGGGGTGGGCAAACTTTTTGGCTCGGGGGCCGCATTGACTTTTAAAATTTGACAGACGGGCCGGGTCAGCACAATATATTTTGGGAATCGCCCCCCCCTTTCCCCCCCTCTACTCCTCCTTCCCCTCCCCTCGGAGGCCCCCTGAGTCAGGAGTTGCTACCGCCGGCGTGGCTCCGCGCGGCTCCAGTCCCGCGTTGCCTCGGGAAGGGAAAGGCAAAAAGGAAAAGCCGCAGCGGTGCTTTGCAACGGCAGCAGCGGCACTGGAGGCTCAGGCTCAGCGGCTCCTGGTTTTGCCTTTTCCTTCCCAAGGCAACGTGGGACTGGAGCCGCGCGGAGCTGCGCCGGCGGTAGCAACTACTGACAGCCCCAGCCGGACACCTGAGCGGAGCCCGGGCGGAACTGCCTGTTGCTGCTGCCGGAGCACCGCCGGGTCGCCTCCTCCAAGCAGCCCGCCCTCCCGCCAGGCTTCCCCTCCGCCGCGCGGCTCGGGGCCAGGCACGAGCGCCCGCGAGTTAAAAGGAAGCCGAAAGTTGCTGGGAAGTTGCTCGGGTTTCCGGGGCTTCCAGGCTTAAACTTTGCACAGGCAAAGTTTGCAGGCGGGAGCGTCTTCCCGCCAAGAAGTGGGAAGGGTTCCGCTCGGCGGGCGGGCGGGCTGCTTGGAGGAGGCGACCCGGCGGTGGTCCGGGTTTCCCCTCCACCGCGCAGCTCGGGGCCAGGCGCGAGCGCCCGCGAGGAAAAAGGAAGCCACAAGTTGCTGGGAAGTTGCTCGGGTGCTGGGAGCAGGCTTTTAAAGTGCCGCCTGAGCAGGACCGCCGAGCTGGGAAATGGGGCACAAAGGCAGGGCAAGGCTCCACCAACAGCGGCCTAGCTTTAGGTGGCTCCAAGCAGCCCGCTCCAAGCAGCCCGCCCGCCCGCCGGACGGAACCCTTCCCGCTCCTCGGCCGGAAGACGCTCCCGCCTGCAAACTTTGCCTTTGCAAAGTTTAAGCCTGGAAGCCCCGGAAAAAAAAGGGGGATCGGCGGGGACTCACCTTTGGAGAGGTCGCACTCGAAGGTGATTTCGAACTCCCAGCCGAGGCCTTTGCAAAGTTCTTCTTTTCTTTCCTACCCCGAGAGTGCTCCGCACTGTTTTGCAGCTTTGGGGGCCACGCGGCGCAGGGCAATACGCCACGCCCAGCGATTTTTTTTCAGGTGTGGGCCAGATTGGACAGACCAACGGGCCGGATGTGGCCCGCGGGCCGTAGTTTGCCCGCCCCTGTTCTATACAATTGAATTGAAAACCCATGATATTGCATTAATATTGCACTATACAGTGGAATTCAATATAATTACTACCCTGGGATAGAAGCTGTTTTTCAGCCTATTTGACCTTGTTTTTAATATTATCCTGTACTGCCTGCAAGATGGTAATAGTTCAAAAAAAGGGTGTCCAGGATGAGATGGATCTTTGAGAATGTTTTGAACTTTCTTAAGGCAGCGGGAGCTACAAAGCTCTTCCAAAGAGGGGAGAGGGCAACCCACGATCCTCTGGGCAATGACATTTTATTTATTTATTTATTTATTTTATTTTATTTGCCAATTGTTTACAAGATAATAAGTATAAGTGTATGCATAGTTGTGAATACATGAAATGGATACATATAAGAAAAATAAAAGAAGAATAAGAGAAACAATAGGACAGGGACGGTAGGCATGTTGGTGCGCTTATGCACGCCCCCTACAGACCTCTTAGGAAAGGGGTGAGGTCAATAGTAGACAGTCTAAGGTTAAAGTTTTTGGAGTTTGGGGAAGAAACTACAGAGTCGGGTAGAGTATTCCAGACATTGACCACTCATTTGCTGAAGTCGTATTTCCTGCAATCAAGTTTGGTGCGGTTAACTTTGAGTTTGTATCTATTGTGTGCTCTTGTGTTGTTATGGTTGAAGCTGAAGTATTCATTGACAGGTAGGACATTGCAATGTATGATTTTATATACCATGCTTAAATCAGACCGAAGACGGCGTAATTCAAGGTTTTCTAGTTCTAGAATTTCAAGTCTGGTGGCATAAGGTATTCTACAACGAGTAGAGGAGTGGAGAACTCTTCTTGTGAAATATTTCTGGACTTTCTCAATTGTGCTAATATCAGATACATAATGTGGGTTCCAGACTGATGAACTGTATTCGAGTATTGGTCTAGCAAATGTTTTATATGCTCTGGTTAGTAGTGTGATATTACCAGAGAAAAAGCTACGTAGGATTAGGTTAACAACTCTTAATGCCTTTTTGCCTATGTAGTTGCAGTGGGCTCTAGCACTTAGATCATTAGAGGTGAGTATTCCAAGGTCCTTTACAGAGCTTGGGTCATCAACAAGATCTTGACTATTCAGCTTGTATTTTATTTTCTGATTTTTTTTGCCAATATGTAAGACAGAGCATTTATTTGTTGAGATTTGAAGTTTCCATTTGTTAGACCATTCTGATACATAGTCAAGATCTTTTTGTAGGGTAGCAGTATTGTCTGTGGTATTGAACAGCTTTACATCATCAGCGAAAAGAACGCAATTGCTCTTAATATGATCACAGAGGTCATTTATGTAGAGTATGAAGAGAGTTGGTCCTAGAACACTGCCTTGGGGGACACCACTATTGACAGGTAAAGAATTTGATAGGACGCTCCCAATTTTGACCATTTGTTGTCTGTTTGCCAGGAATGCTTCTATCCAGTTATGCAGTTGTCCAGAGATACCATAGGATTTTATTTTTAGGAGTAGTTTGTCGTGTACCACTGAATCAAAGGCTTTACAGAAGTCTATGTAGATTGCGTCTATTGCTTTGCCCTGGTCAAGTTGTGTCGTCCATATGTTTTTGCAGTGTAAGAGTTGCAGATTACAGGATAGTTTTTTTTCTGAAACCAAATTGTTTATTGGAGAGTAGGTTGTTTGTCTCTAAATGGAGGATGATGGATTGGTTAATAATTGATTCCATGACTTTACAGGTGACGCAGCATAAGGAGATTGGTCTGTAATTTTCAACTAGGCTTACATTAACCCTCTGGAGCAGGGGTCGCCAACATTTTGGACCTCAGGGACCACCAAACTCATAATTTTAGATCCCAGGGACCACTAACTAGTTCTGTGGGCATGGCGTAATTTGTGGGTGTGGCTTGGTGGTCATGTGACTGGCTGGGCATGGCTTGTATGTAGATATTATAAATATTTATATAAATATTGATTTTTTTTATAAAAAAGAGCAACTTTTACCTAAAATCAAAGCAGGCAGGCAGATTGAGTTGCTCACAGAATTACAGATTCATTTAGAAATCTATCTATCTGCCATTGGCTAGCTCAGACTGTCACATAAAATTTGCTTGCAGCCAAAATCATAACATTTGCTAGCAAGCAAACTCACAAAATTAACTCACAATACACCATGTATGTAAATATTGAATTTTTTATATAAAAAACCAACTTTTATCCAAAATCAGACAAAGCAGGCAGATTGAGTTGCTCACAGAATCATTCAGTGATCTATCTATCTGCCATCGGCTAGCTCAGTCTCTTAAATTTGCTTCCCATGAGTCTGCACTGAATTTGCTTGCAAGTAAACCTTCAGTCCTAAGGGAGGTTCGGCTGTGCTTAGCTAGAAAGCAAGAAATCCAACCATTTCCTGCTTCCTAGCTAATCTAAATCTCATGGCACAGAACAGATGATGGTCAGAAAAAGGAAAAATAGCAACTTAGCAGACAAGTTTGCCGGGTAAGGAGTGATGGCAACCGCTGCTCTGGAGCGCTATTCTATCTGCCACTGTGCAATTGGCAAACCATACAGAGGTGCAGTATGTTAAAATGCTCTCTGTGGTTCAGCGGTAGAAGGTCACCAGCAATTTTTCATTCCGTTGTTGTTTTCTGAGAAGTCTCAGGTAGTATAATCTCTGCTGGGCCCTTTTGACCAGAGCTGCAATGTGAGCATCCCAGGTCAGGTCCTCTTTTAGGGTAACACCCAGAAACTTAAAACTGGCCACTTGCTTCACTCGGTCTCCATTGATAAGCAAGGGCCGGATGTATGATCTGTTCTGTTAATGGATGTTATGCATTGCAAATATTTTCATTTTGTGTGTTTTTTTTTAAACAGATTTTATTAATTTTTAAGAACAATACACAAACAAACAAAACGTAGAATATAATAACATAGGACATCTTTTCTGAAAAAACAAATAAAACATCTTATTTAAAGACAGGATAATTCCAAATTATCACATTTCCATACAAGCACAGTTTAATATGTATATTTGTCTTATCTGTTCAACTTCATATCTTTTCCCAACTTCTCTTTATTTCTCCCTTTCCTTCTATTCAATTATATTTCTTTTGCCTTAAATTATATATATTCATTGTATCCATCTGTCTTATACAATTTCGTTATTCTCTTCCAACATTCTTCTAACGTTTTATTAATTCATAGACAAACAAAACACAAAACATAAATACATAAAACTTCTTTTTGGAAAGCGGCTTACCCCGGGTTACATCTTTTTGTACAGACAAAAATCAAATTCATGCTCACTTAATATACTATTTCATATCTTATTTAACATTCTATATTTTCTATATATTTTCTCTCTTCATTCACTCTCTTAATTCTATTTTATTTATTTCATCTCAATTTAAATAATTATACTTGCATCTTTTGTCCGTTCTCTTTCAATTATCTATTTATCTTTTCTTTCTAATACAATATTTCTCCTGTGATCACTGGTTGAAGTATGACAACTTTTTATCTTTCCCCTAAATTTAACACTTAAAATAATACATACTTTCCATACTGATTCTGCTTAGTACATTCTAAATATTACATTTTAGAATAATAAAACAAAAAAAAGAGAATTGTTTATAAAATAGTAAAAACAATATTCCATAGAAAGTTAAACTATTATTAAATCTTAAACATTTTTATACATTCCCTTTAATGCATTATTAACTCATATATTTCAATTTTCTAACTCAATTTCAAAATATTAAAATCTACAATACAATCTTATGTACTTTTGCAGAATCATTTTTTAAATTATAATTTACCCTTTGTCTCTGAAAAAAACCTGTTTTTTAGCATCTTGTTTTAAACCTTTATGACTTCTCTTTCCTTTTTCCCTTTCTTTCTTATCAATTCTAGCCTTTTTGCCCCCCAATCTCTCAAACTCCCCTCTCTTAATCTTCCCTCTCTGTTGTATTTCTCTTTTCTGTTGCTTTCTGACATTGTATCGATTTTTCATCTTATTTTTCCCTTTTTTGGTTGCTTTTTTAAGTTCTGAATTCTCCATTTTCTTTCCCCACTTTCTCTTTTCTTCTTCAAGTAAGATTGTCTGTCCATTAAAGATGGCTTCTTCTCCTTCATCCCAGCCTTCTTGTTGTTGTATTTCTTGGTAGGTAGAAATCGCCATTTCTAAAAAGTGAAAAATAGATCCAGAAGAGCCCTTGCCTTCTTGTTCCTCTTCTTTTAGCTTTTGAAATTCCATTTGCAATTCCTCAACAGATAGTGCCATTTTTTCCCCTTAAGAACAACCCAAGTGTTTTTAATCTTTAGTTTTTAGAAATAGTTCCCAAAAATCCCAAAGTCACAAAGCAATCCAAATCAAAATAAATTGTTTCATTTAGCACTTTCTTCTTTTTATATTTTCTCTTCCTGGGGTAGAGTTCAATTACACAGTTCCAAAGTAATTTTTTAGAAGCCTTATTGCCTTTTATTTCTGGTCTTATAAACTCCTAGCAGTCTCCTTCAATACAATCTTAAAGTAGGTTCTTTACCTCTTCCCTCCCACTTATAGCAAAAAAAAAAAAAAAGTTTTTAATTCCAATGTTCAGAAATCTTTTATCCCCTCGGCTTTAAATTTCAAGTTTAATTACCTTCTGTGCCCAAGCAGGTTTTTCCGATTTCCATCAGCTATTTCCATGGGGAGGGAGAGTGAGAGAAAGTAACTCTCCCTTTCCCTTTTCTTCCGCCACTTTCCAGTCTTCTTAGGAAACAATGTATCATTCAAACAATTAAGATTCCAGGGTATTTAAAAGTTCCTTGTTGACCCGGTTCAGCCAAAAAACTTTCACTTTCTCCAACTTCCTCCTGCACGACCTTACCCGGCTGCAGGCTTCTTTGTGGCAGCCATTGCTGACCGCCGCTCCACCACCTTGGGAAAAAGGAGTTTAGCTGGCTGAGGAGGGGGTTTGCGATACCCCCAAACCCCTATCCGGATCTCCTCTATCTTCGGTTGCCTCTAACGGGCAACCATATCCTCCAGATCCAGCTGGATCGGAGGCACTTCGGCAGCGAGCGCAGCAGGAACCGCGCACGATCGCGGATTCCTGCCGCCGCCGAAGCCTTGCAAACCGGAAATCTTCAATTCATTTTGTGTTTTGATGGAGTTGGAAATGTAACAACAAGACAAGAAGGGAATTGATTGATTAAGTGCCATCAGATCACCTTCGATTGCTAATGACCACTAATGACCTCCTTTTCTCCAAGAAGGAGATGGCACCAGAATATTTGGTAGAGTGGACTTCCTTGGAGTCTGGAAGAAGCTAGCTATGAAACAAATATTATAACATTAATGCAATCTCCATCTGAAATAGATTTGCATTTCTGTCACTCCAAGACAACTGAAGTTCTTGAATCTCTCCCATCATAAATTTCCCAGTCATTTCTAGATTGTTTATTTAGTGTATTGCATCTACAGAGGTCATGCAACCACTAATATACAAACACGAATAAAACACATTTTGCATACCAACACAACTGTGTGTAAGTGGAGCATTAGCAGATGTATGTATGTATGTATGTATGCATGCATGCATGCATGTATGTATGTCAAATATGTGGACAGTACAATATACAAGATGAAACATTAAATTACGTTAAAAACCATGATAACAAATCACCATGTATTTTATTATATTTAGCATATGGCATGTACAGAGGTCATGCAATGAGTGATATGCAAATTTAGTTTAAATAACAGAACTGGATATTTAGACTCCAACAGTTCTTTTAAGAAAATGGTTGAGAAAACATATCATAGAGTTGCAATAGATGTTTTAATCCAGTATCTAAGGAAACTGACCATCTAACTGCTTCTGTTAGGGCTATTTTCTAGATTTCCAGATCACCCATCTGCACTAATGATATTTCCTATTTTGTAAAACATCACAAGGATTGTGGAGGAAATTCAACACCACAACACACTACCAATGCTATTTAGTAGTAGTGTAGTTAATACTTGGATGAGAATTCTTAGGGATAGACTGGACGCCATAAAAACATCTTGTAAGAGAGCAGGAACAGACCTTCCTGTGGTCGGTTTGACACAGATGTATCGATGAGTCATTGGAATCATTGAAGTCTAGCTTGATTTGAGGGAGTTTTCAATTTTAAAGTTTTTAGAAGTTCAGACTCTGTCATCATTAGTTATGCAAAATCAGGACAGATCAGATTCCTGACCTGTCATTCTGCCCTGCCCGTCTCTAGAACTAACATCCAATTTCCAAGCTTTCCTTGATCACAGCCATGTTCCTCTTCTACTGCCTTCTCTCCATCTTTGTTCCATCAACATCATAGTTCCTTGTTGTCTTTCATCCACCTGTAGGACCTCCTCAAAACATGGGGAGTTTTTCTGCCTCTCGCCCAACCGACCTCCCTACTTCCAATAACCATCTTCAAATGAACTGTTCAATGGTGTCTGTCTCCTTTCCTTCCCTCCTTCCCCTTCTCCATCTTTCAAAGACCATGTCTTAGTCCTTGTGATTGTTGTCATCTTCCAAATGTATTCATCAGTCACCCCTTTATCCCGCTCGTCACTGTCTTCCTCTTTTCAGTTCATCTTCTCCTCACTTCTCCATCACAATTTTCTCAGCCCAAGGATACAAGGCACCCATCTTCCCTTAACAGAATAACAAGAGTTGGAAGGACCTTGGAGGTCTTCTAGTCGAACCCTCTGCTCAAGCAGGAGACCCTATACCATTCCAGACAAATGGTTATCCAATCCTTTCTTTAAATACCTCCAGTGCTGGAGTACTCACAACTTCTAGAAGAAAATCATGCCCTTGTTTGCTGTCAACTTTAAGTCTAATAACAACCAACACAGCAAGTACCTAAAACAAGTACCTTCCAAGACGGAGTATCCCAATACCGCATCTATGTTGACTTTGTCGTGGTATTCACCCAGGAACAAAACGGCCTTCTCCATGGCGGAGATGATAGCATTTCTCCTATCTGCCTGACAAGAGGAGGGCTGCAGGTTTACAAGACAGGTCAACAGCAAAAAACCAAAATTCAGCATTTTTTGCATCGGGGGGCAGGAGGAAGCAACAGAGGCTTTTTACAGACTCTGTGAAAAAAAAACTGCTGACCTCTCTTTGTTCTCCTTAAACCTTTTTATAGGTAGGATTTGTGTACACAAGAATCCACGTCAGAAACGAAGCTCTGATTGACAGCAAAGCTCCAAATTGTTTACAAGGAGCCATTAAAGTCCTTCCAGGGGCCAAATTACATTTTGTTGATGGATGTGAGTAGGTTAAAAATCACTTGGAGTTGAGTGGCACACAAGTTTTAAGTCAAGGAAATAAATTGTGGGTTGTTGTTTTTTTGTATAAATATTATGAAATGTTTTTTAAAAAAGAAGAAAGCACTGAAAAAAAACTAATACAGAGTAAAGGAGGAAAGAAAAAATAAATAGAAGTTTCCAATTTCTTTGCAGATAATGGTATAAGCATGGTTACACAATCATCGCTTTAGAAAAAAAACTTACTTTCTTTTATTATCTAATATTTTCTAATCAAGGCCACAGATCATATCCATTTTTTCTGCTTCATGCAAAAAGTCCCTAAGGGTTTTCCAATCAGCAGCAAAGGAAATCAACTGTCTTTTCTTTAATTAAATTAGCCAAGTTTCATCAACTTCATCAACCATTCCTCCTTTGTAGACAGTACCGAACCTTTCCACTTTTAAGCGAATAACAATCTTGCTGCACTTGTCACATATCAAAACAAAGCTCTCTGAATTCTGTTTATTTATCCACTCAGCCCAAAAGAAAAGTCTGTGGTTTCAATTGTACGTTAGTCTTCAAAATCTTTAAAGCCTTTAAAACCTTCTGAATTAGTGCGTGTGTTTGGATCCAAAAATTGCTGGTTTTCTTGCCTCCCCATCAAACATAATATGTCCCTTTGTGTTGCTCTCATTTCCAGTATAAATTTCTAGTGCTTGGTTGAAAGAAATTGTTATTGTGACATTCACAACAACAAAAAGTGCACACCTCTTAAAATACCCAAGGTTGAGAAACAGTGACTTAGTAGTTAGAAGAGAATAAATGTAGCTCAGGGTTGAACTATGGAGACCTTGGTGCTCTCTGAGCTTGATTGTTTTCATGTAGACATTTTATTACCCAACTAGGTAATATCTTCAGTGTTAGAAGGTGGAGGTTTCCACTCTGTCTATATACAAGTTTGGTCCATTCCCTTATATTCCATTCCATTATATGTACCCATTTCATGTATTCATAACTATGTATATACTTATACCTATTATCTTGTAAGCAATTGACAAATCAAGTAAATAAATCAAATAAATAAATAAAAATAGAAGACACAATCTTGCATTCATCCCTGTGGCGCTCTACAATTCAAAACCCGCGTCGACGTGTGTAGTTGCTCCTCCGAGCCGAGAGGGCGGCGCTGTCCCGACCTGCATTGGCGGCGTTCCCGGAGCCGCTCCGCGCGGCCTCTCACCGCCTCTCCCAAGATGGAGGCCGGCGATTGGCTGCTTTCGGGGACGGCGCTGCTGCTGCTGCTGGCTGGGGCGCTGGGGGCCTGGTGGTCGTTCCGGCCCCCGAAGAGACCTGGCGACGCCGCGGGGCGCGTGGCCGTGCTGGTGGTGGGCGACCTGGGCCGCAGCCCCCGCATGCAGTACCACGCCTTGTCGCTGGCCCGCCGGGGCCGTCGCGTCGCTTTCCTCGGCTACGCGGGTGAATCTTCCTCCCCACCTCGAGAGACCGAGGGCCCCGGAGGCCGAACCTTCCTCCCCGCAGAGCCTTCGGCCCGGCCTGCCCTGCCCAACTACGGCTCCCAGCAGCCCCGGCCATGGCGGCGGTGCGCGAGGCATGCTGGGAGTTGTGGTTCCGCGTATGCGTGGAAGGGCTCGCCTGGGCTCTTCCCCAACCTGGCGCCCCTTCATTGGGCAGTCTGCCAGCCCCGTTTGTCTTTCTGAGACAATGCTGGGGAGGATGGGGGTTGTAGTGCTGCCCCAGGAGGGCTGCAGATGGGAAAAGGAGAGGAGCAGCCTGGAACTAAGGAGAAATTTCCTGACAGTTGAGAAGAATTGATCAGGGGAACAAGTTGCCTTCAGACGTTGTGGGTGCTTCATCACTGGAGGTTTTTAAGAAGAGACTGGACAGTTGTTCGTCTGAAGTGGTGTAGGGTTTCCTGCCTAGGCAGGGGGTTGGACTAGAAGACCTCCAAGGTCCCTTCCAACTCTGTTATTTCTATTGTATTCTATGGTACTCTATTCTATTCCATTCCATTCCATTCTATATTTCTATTCTATTCTATTCTATTCATTCCTATTTCTATTCTATTCCTACTCCTACTCTACTTCTAATCTATTCTACTCCACTCTTACTTCTACCCTTATTCTACCCTTATTCTATTCTGTTCCATTCCATACCATTCCATCTTCTATTCTATTCTATTCTATTCTATTCTATTCTATTCTATTCTATTCTATTCTATTCTATTCTATTCTATTCTATTCCATCTTCTATTCTATTCATTCCTATTTCTATTCTATTTCTATTCCTACTCCTACTCTACTTCTAATCTATTCTACTCCACTCTTACTTCTACCCTTATTCTACCGTTATTCTATTCTGCTCCATTCCATACCATTCCATCTTCTATTCTGTTCTGTTCTGTTCTGTTCCGTTCTGTTCCATTCCATATTCTATTCTATTTTACTCCACTCCAGTCCACTCCTATTCTATTCCATTCATTATTCTATTCTATTCTATTCTATTCACTCCCATTCCTAATTCTATTCATTTCTATTTCTATTTCTATTCTATTCATCCTGTTTCTATTCTATTTCTATTCTATTTCTAATTCTATTCTATCTTTATTCATTCCTATTCCTAATTCTATTCTATCTTTATTCATTCCCATTCCTACTTCTATCCTATCCTATTTCTATTCTATTTCAATTCTATAAGGCTTCTGCCTTCTTGGTGGGATGGGTGGGAGGTGCATAGGAGGAACCCCATGCAGATTTGGGATATGACTTATGTGTGATTTTAGGCTTTCTGTTTTCAGGGCTTTCCCCTCTTTTTATTCAGATTTCCAGCTCTCTTTCCTTTCTTGCCCATCACTCGGGTTCAAATCTAATCTTTGAAAAGTTTTTGCCCACCGTCAACAAAATGGATCAATGAAATGCCCTTTTTGTGGTTGCACTCGAGGTATTTAAATTTGCAAAAGTAACAACTGCCAGCCATTGATTGAGAAAATTAAGGGTTTGGGTTTTTTTGGATGCGTGGAGAGTTTATGAGACAGTCAAAATAAGCAGAATTAATCAACTAGTGTGCAAATAAAATAAAATGGCAGGCAACAAAGGAACAAACAGTTTTTTAAAGATTATTCTAGATTATTGCTTATTATTGTTGCATCCTCCCATAATCTTCTGTGTCCTTTATGATGTATTTTATTTTGAACCTGACCTGCTGCTGCCATCACCTCAAAACCAGGGCAACAGGATGGGGCAGTCAAGCTGTTTCTGAAAAGCTTGTGTGTAAACTTTAGCCAGGCTTCATCAGAATGCAATTAGTCACAGAAGTAATTTGGGAGTTTGTTTTTTTAAATAACTTGCCCTCTTTGGATTAGGACCCAGACTTATAGGCCGCTTCACAGTACTTTACAGCCCTCTCTAAGTAGTTTACAGAATCAGCCTCTTGCCCTCAACAATTCTAGGTCCTCATTTTACTGACCTCAGAAGGCTGAGTCAACCTTGAGCTGGTCAGGATCGAACTGCTGACATTGGGTAGTGTTAGCCTGCAGTACTGCATTCTAACCACTGCATCATCAAGCAAGGAAGGAAGGAAGGAAGGGCAATAGTAGCCCTTAGACTTATACACCACTTCCCAGGGCTTTTACAGCCCTCTCTAAGCAGTTTACAGAGTCAGCCTATCACCCCCAACAATCTGGGTCCTCATTTTACTGACCTCGGAAGGCTGGAAGGCTGAGTCAACCTTGAGCCTGGTGAGATTCGATCTGCCAAATTGCAGTCAGCAGAAGTAGCCTGAAGTACTGTGTTCTAACTGCTGCACCACCACAGCTCTTAGAAGCTACAAACGTCTATGAAAAACAAGTCATAAGTCACTTTTTTTCAGTGCCATTGTAACTTTGAACGGTGACTAAAGGAACTCTTGTAAGTTGAGGAGCATCTGTATAACAACCATAAAATAACATAAAAAAACGATGCTCTTGGGAAAGCTAATTCCTGTTGATTGTGAGAAAAAAACTTTGGGTGGTGGAATCCTTGACAAAGGGGCTGGAGGGCTCTCTTTTTATTGCAAAAAAAGCTTTCTAACCTTCTATAGAACATAGAATTATAGAGCTGGAAAGGACCGCAGAGGACTTCTACTCCAAATCACCCTGCTCAAGGCAGGAGAACTTTGATCATTCCAATCAAATGGTTGCCAGGTCTATTTTTGAAAACCTACAGTGAAATCCAGTGAATCTATGGAAGCTTTAATTTGGATTCTGAATCTGAGAAATTTAAGACTCAATATCTAGAGCAGGTCTGAGGGCTGCATGTGGCCCTGCATAGCTACTAATGCAGCCTCACAAAATTGTAAACTTTGAATATTATGTGGATATTATTATGTGGTGTATATACTATATTATATAGTTTATATGGGGGTCAAGATGATTCCTCTTCACTCAGTATGACCCACGCAAGTCAAAAGGTTGGACAACCATGGTCTTGCCCAGGGGTCTCCATATTTGACAATTTTAAGACTTGTGGACTTCAACTCCCAGAATTCTGGCTGGATGATGAATTCTGGGAGTTGAAATCCACAAGTCTTAAAAGTTGCCCAATTTGAAGACCCCTGGTCTAGAAATTCAATAAAGTGTCCCATTCCAGCTCATAAGTATTACACTTATTTGTTACTTATGGAGGCTGGAGAAGTTTTCATATGTGTTTTTTTTTCCTCAATTGACCTCTGAGGTAACTGACCTCAGAGTTTCTTTTTAATCCCCGTTATCTCGGACATGGTGTCCATCGTTTATTCTGGACAAAATCTTATCACTGTTTGCTTCTCTTACAGGCACAAAGCCTCACAGTGAGATCATAAGCAATGAAAACATTGAGATTGTTCCCCTTAC